ATATATATATATATATATATATATATATATATATATATATATATATATATGAATGAATGAATGAATGAGATTCATTCAAATATATAAATGAATGAGGGGGGGGGGTGAACCATCCCTTTAACTCTTCAATATCCTACAGAGTTAATAAACCAACCACTCAGGCTGCGATCAGTACCATCAGCTGTGCCATTAATAATAATATGTATTTGAATTTTAGATCCGCAAGTAGTTTTAGTATTTACGATTAATAAATAAATAACAGAGCTTGTCACTTTGCAATCTCGGATTGACTTCTCAACAAAAGATACGTACAATGCTGCCTTCCATTTTAGCCAAAATAAAGTTGTAGCAAAGTAAACACAAAATAAAGTCCAGACCTGGTCCTCTTTCGTCTTCCACTGTCGTCACTCCTCCTTTTATCCTTCCGGAGCTCTTCCGTGGGACTCGAGACCAGTGAGTGGCGCAGGTGTCACTCATTATCATTAAACTCCACCGGCCTCGCTCCGCTCTCACGGCTCTCTGCCCCACTCCACTCGCCACAAAAGTATTCTAGAAAGAATATGCTTGGAAAAGTATCATTTTTGAAAAAGTCTTCATGTCAAAAGCGCACCTATGATGTCTATAAAGTATTGTCTATGTAGGCAGCACCAGGTTTTGGAATAGCGCTATAAATAGTGTAATTCATCTGTTCGAAATACATTTCTTATACTCTCCTTTTTTCTTCTCTTTTATGAAGCCTCGACATATGACGGCACTGGAATCCAGTGGAAAGACAACTTTGAATCTGCATTTACAGAATTATGTGAAATTGGACGGTATAGATTTTTTTTTCCTTTTATTAAAATGCAGTCCATCATTCTTCATTCTGTCAGTAACAAACTCTGCTGACTCATATGTTTTCTGTTTTAGGGGTCGTTTCTCAGTGGTGAGGAAGTGTCTCAGTAAAGCCAGTAAGAAGGAGGTTGCTGTGAAGTTTGTCAATAAGAAGATGCAGAAGAAAGAGCAGGTGGCCCATGAGGCTGATATCCTGCGTCACGTCCAGCATCTGCAGCTGGTGGCGCTGATTGATACCTATGAGTCTCCCACGGCCTACATGCTGGTTCTTGAGCTGTGAGTAAATCCATTTAAAAAGCAAAGACACTTCCATTGACAGCCCATTTCTCAATTACACAATTATGGGACTAGACGGGGGCACAAGGGGCCCTGATTAGAGAGAGGGCCCGGTATGGGATTATCTTATGCCTTGATGAACAAAATGAAGAAGAATCATAAAAATCATGCTTTCTGCAATCTAAGAGCCAACAGGAAAAAAAAGCCTATTGACTTTTTTGCTAAAGGAACCAGGATGATGCTCACTTCCAGAATGAACTACAAAATGACGTCATCCCTGCAGAATTCTATAGAGGGCAGTAGAGCTCCAAGACTCAACATATTCTAAATTATTCAGTAAAAAAATAAAATTACCAATGAGATTTTAGTCTGTTTGTTGTATGAAACGGGATGAACATTCTTGTGGAACACCGATCTCTTTTTCCACACACATACAAATTCAAGTGGATTTTTTTTTTTAAGAATTACCTGCAATGATATGATCATATTTATGTGTGTTCAGGGTTGAGGATGGGCGTCTGCTGGACTATCTGGTGGCTCACGATGAGCTGATGGAGGAGAAGGTGGCATTCTTCATTAAAGACACTCTGGAAGCTCTGCAGCACCTGCACACATGCAGAGTAGCTCACCTGGACCTCAAGGTAAAACATCATACCACCACATCAGCATGCAAAATAAATTAACAGCTTATTTAGTAAAAAAAAAGTAGTAATTTAGCAGATGCTTGTCCAAAACAACACACACAGAACACCTTAGCATCTGCATAGCTCTATGCTCTAGCAGCCAGCAGTATGTATAGCAACCATGCAGCAGTGTTCTAAAACCCTACTGTAAATAAAACCTAATAATCTTAGGGCAATACCCCAGAATACCAGGATCCTAGCAACATCTTAGCAACTTAGAACACCCCTGCATGCTAAAAAACAAAATAAAACAAAAAACTGAATACACCAAGATATGTGTAAGATGCAAGATGTGTGCCAAAATATGTAACAGAGGCCAGCTGGTAAGAGCTGTGTATGGAGAGTAGAACCGGAGGGGTTACAATGGTGCCGTGACCTAGATGGGAGTGAGGTTTAAGGGGGTGACTGTTACGGAGGCCAGCTGCGAAGAGCTGTGTATTGGGAATATAACCTGAGGGGTTACAGTGGTGCCGTGACCTGGATGGGAGTAAGGGTTTAGGGGGGGTGAGTGTTACGGAGGCCAGCTAGTAAGAGCTGTGTGGGTAAACCTCACTCCCCTGATTTCAAGAGGCACACTAGCGACTGACGCTAGGTCTTTAGCATCCTTGTTAGCCCACCTCCCATGCCAGAAACACCGGTTCGAATCCCACTCAGATCGAATGAGGGGAGTAGAACTGAAGGGGTTACATATACACCAAGATAATTTATTACTATGAATGGGAGAGACTGCAAGACACAATTTGGTGGATCTAATATAGGTATCCTGAGACTGGCGCTTAGCACTGCACATGTGCATTGGCTAGACCAACCTAAAAATGTGTTTTTAAAATGTTATTTGAGTGTAAGAAATAGCATTTAATAGACAGTTAATATCAGATTTCATTACTGATTTGAAATATGCTATTGAAATGTAGGACATTTATGAGATTTCTCCATTCAAGTAGATAGGAGTTGGTCTTACATGCTTAAAATACTGTAGCTGTCCAGAGGTGTTCTACTGACTTTCTTTGAAAGGAACTTTGATAAAAACCCAACAACACCCCATCAACCACACAGCAATGTGCTAAAAGCACTCAGAACACCTTAAGAACCACATAGCCTGCAACACCCTGGCAAACATCCACATCACTAGCATTTAAATTTTTGTACAAGCATGCACCTACTACACTCTTAAAAATAAAGGTTATTTATTGGCATCAATGGTTCCACAAAGAACCTTTACCATCCATGGAACCTTTTCATTCCACAAAAGGTTCTTTAGATTATTAAAACGTTTTTCACACTTGTTCTTTTAAGAACTGTTAATTGAAAGGTTCTTTGGAGAACCAAAACTGGTTCTTATATGGCATCACTGTGAAAACCCCCTTTTGGAACCTTTATTTTTAAGAGTGTTAAGTAGGTGACCACTAAAGAAGAGTTTTGAAACTTAGTGCAGAGTCTTGAGTTTTCAACTCTTTCTCATTCTTCAGCCTGAAAACCTGTTGGTGGACCTCCATGTGCCGGTGCCCTGCGTGAAGCTCTCAGATCTGGGCGATGCTGTACAGGTTTCGGGTCACCGCTACGTGCATCTCCTCCTGGGGAACCCGGAGTTTGCCGCTCCAGAGCTCATCCAGGGCACCCCGGTGTCCCTGTCCACAGACATGTGGAGTGTAGGGGTGCTGGCCTACGTCATGCTCAGCGGAGTCTCCCCGTTCCTGGACGAGAGCCTGGAGGAGACCTGCGTCAACATCTGCAGGCTGGATTTCTGCTTTCCTGAGGAGTACTTCAGTGATGTTAGCCAGGCCGCCAAAGACTTCATTGTGTCCACGCTTCACCAGGACCCCAGGAAGAGGCCAAGCTCAGCTACATGTCTGCAGCATCCGTGGGTCAGCGCTCATAGTGGAGATTACTCCAAAACACCACTGGACACTGTCAGACTCGCTGCGTTTATAGACCGACGCAAACAGCTACATGATGTCAGACCTGTGACGAACGTTAAAGGACTGGTCAGCAGCAGTATGGGACACACCTTATGAGACGAGAACGTGGGCTAGAGGAAAGAGGTTCTAGCATGTTACATGCTCTATGTCAACAATAGATGTCATTTACATTATATATCATATCATTAGGAATGTGCACTTACTGTACACAGTGTTTCCTGTAGCGTTTATTGGCCTGCTCCATTATGACTTGTGGCCCGGGGAGTTAATAGATTGGTATGGAATTGTGGGAATTGCAGGAATTGCAGAGCTAGGAGTAGTAACATCATTGAATGTCATATTAAGGCTTAAAGTGATGTGTTTTAGCGCTTTCAGAGTCCTAAACAGACCAGTAGTTGGGTGTTGTTGTATGTTCAGTTGTATTGCGGGGTTTTACAGGAAAAGTTTAACCAAAAACTAGAATTCTGTCATCACTTACTCGTGCTGTTCCAGATTCATAAGATGTGCTAAAACAAAACAAGTTTTAGTCTTTTTTTATTCAATGAAAGTCAAATTTCATGCTTGTTCACATATATTCAAATATGGCACATCAGGTTTGATATCTATGATGCTGAATGGCTTTGGTTGTCTCGTTTATCATAACCAATTGCAACATGCCAGTTTGAATATGCGTAAGTGCAAATGCTATTTTAGAAGTCCCATGGGAAGAGAACAGTCAATTCCTCAATTTTATGATACTTTTAGCTCATATTTGGAGCTTAGCATACATCAGTACTCATTTAATTTCAAATTCAAATATGGGTTTGGAGCGACATGAGTAAATTAATGATGACTGAATGTAATACAATGTGGTTGACGATTGGATGTGAAAAGAAATTTAGTGATCCAACATCTTGCAGCAGATATATTTTTCACAGGATCATTAAGATAATTTAAAGAATGTAGAATATTTGACAGGTAAGAATTATTGTACAAATACCTGCATGTAGAAATAACTGATCATCCACATTTAACCTGTTATGTATTCCGTTTTCATAGTATGGGGTCATGAGTATCATCGTCATTAGGCATAATGAGGAATTTGAATGTCTTAAAATTAATTGAATAAAATTTTGTTTTCTTATTTGTCTAAGTTGAAATGACAATAATTTGCGGACTAAAATTATTACAGTTCAGCACTTATTTACACTACCATTCAAAAGTCTGTGATCGAGAAGATTTTTTAAAGTTTTTTTTTTTTTTGAAAGGTCTGTTTTGTTCACCAAAGCTGCATGTATATGATCAAAAATACAGTAAAAACAAAGAAATATTGTGAATTATTATTACAGTTCGAAATAACTGTTTTCTCTTTTAATATATTTTAAAATGTAATTTTTAGAAGCCATTTCTCCAGTCCTTAATGATCTTTCAGAAATCATTCAACTTTGATGCTCAAGAAACATTTCTTATTAGCAATGATGTTGAAAACGTGTTGTACTTTTATTTTCAAGACTCTTTGATGAATAGTCTTCACTGTCACTTTGATTAATTTAACGCATCCCCAATGAATAAAAGTAGAAAATCATTTAAAAGATAAGAAAATTCTTACTCAAACAACCTTTTAAATGGTAATTTATTAATTTATAAAATACCCACACGATGTCCAGGAAAAAGCCCCAAAAGCCTTAAACACCACAATTTCTTGTTTAATTTATTATTTTTAAACACATTGATGTATTGTAGGAATGTCCAGGTATGCCATGTGTTATATGTTTATGTTTGACTGTATAATTGTTCTGTATGTTGAATGTGCCGTCAGAAGTGTAATATGTTAAACTGACACAGCATCCATGTATCAGCTTTGACAGGCCAGACGCACATAGTTTATAAACGCTTGATCAGTTGATCAGTGAATACACTCTAAATACACGCCTTTACCATCAATACTGAAAAGGAAGCCTAATAGACAGGTTTAGTGAGGGCCAGTGAATTATTACACATAATGACAACACAGCATGACACACCTGTGAATACTGCATTGGGACAATCTTTACATCTCATGTTTAACCTCATCAGCTCCTGCTGTATAAAGCTTCTGCTCTGCATTAATAACCTCTGTAATATCTGGGCCTAGTTTCATTTCAGCACATCTAAAACAACCAACGTAAAAAATATCCCAAACGTGATTCAATTTCTATTTTAACAGAAGCTGTCTCCCAAACTAGATCCTTTGAAAAGCATCTCAGGAGATCTCTGAAAAATAAAGCCAGATCTGCTCTTTACATCTTTACTTCATGCATATACCCCTGCTATAGGATTTTATAGAAGCCTGTGTGTAAAATTTGCAAACAAAAACAGAAATATTGTTTTTCTTGATTCATATGGGCTGTTTGTTTGTTACTGAATGTTTAATAAACTGTGCTTTGTTTTTAGAAAAACTTTCTGTGGAGTTTTCTTGACGTTGTTTATCTAGAGGTGTTTTTTTATAAATGTTAGTGAGCATTCTTATCTTGGTATGCTATTTTAATATATTAGAAATGTTAATTTTACATCCTCGCTCCACAAAATTAAAGTACAAAAGCACATTTCCTACATGTATCTATGTGGTACATAACCCAATTCAATTCTAATTATTGGAAAAGAAAAAGTTTTAATTTTGTTAAAATCGCTTTCCTTGACCTTGAATCTGTATCGCACTAAATTAGCACGTGATGAGTTCATTTCACTTCATGATTTCATATGTATGTGCATTTGTAAATGCTAACTTTCTTGTATGGTAGCTATACAAGCAATAAATACATTCAGTAATGTTATCAAGTATTAGTATTATTCCCATGGTTGTTTCTGATCACTTTGGCACCCTAGACAAATATCCTAGACGGTGTCTGTCAGGCTCCTAAAATCCACTGATGTGAAAATCAAGCTAAAGGCAGGTGTGGAGCCTTACACAGTAACAACAGCTCTGAAAGTGTCCTTAAGTGAAAGTCAAACTAGACAGAATGGTGAAGTGTGGCATGACTGAAGAAATTATGGAAGCAACGGAATGGTGTTCATCAATGATGCCAGTTATGAGAAAAAATTAATGTAGCATACATTGACAACATAATCGGCTGTTGTAAAACACAGGAGGTTTGTGAACAATGCCTAAAGATGGTCCTAAAGACACTCTGTAATGCTGGACTGAAGCTTAATGATGAAACATGTCTGTTAAGACAAACACAGATTCAGTTTCTGGGGCATGGCATTTATGCCAGACATGAAAAAGGTTGAGGCTATAATGAATATTCAACCTCCACAAAATGTAACAGAAGTTAAAATGATGATGGTGATGGTTCATTCCTACCTGGTTTGGCTAATACAACTGCTCAATGATCTCCTAAAACGAGGGTGCAAAACTCCACAGCCCTGGCAAATATATTTTCAACCCTGGTACAGGCTGGGAACGTTCCTCTTCCAACATGTAGATGGATGATTGTGACCCATAGCTTACTGTTCATGTAACTTTAACAAGATACGGAGATAAGAGTGGCAAAGTTAAACTACTCTTACAAGCTAAAAAAAACAGCTTTCAAGTAATGACTCTACATCAGTGTGGACAGGCCTGAAAGCCATCACCAGCTACAAGACCCCATCCCCCAGCACTGAGGCCAATCAACAACTGGCTGAAGACCTGAACGAGTTTTATGTTGGCCTACTTGAAGGACATTACTGGACCCTTCCGGACCCCCTGCATTTTGCTTACCGAGCAAACAGGTCTGTGGATGATGCAGTCAATATGGGATTGCACTACATCCTCCAACATCTGGACAAATCAGGGACTTATGCAAGGATCTTGGTTGTGGACTTCAGCTCCGCTTTCAACACTATCATCCCGGAGACCCTTCAGAATAAACTCATACAGCTCTCTGCACCCACCTCCATCTGTCAGTGGATCACCAGCTTCCTGACAGACAGGCAGCAGCTAGTGAGGATGGGAAAACTCACATCCAACACTTGCACCATCAGCACCGGAGCTCCTCAGGGCTCCGTCCTCTCCCCACTGCTCTACACAAATGACTGCACCTCTACTGACCCCTCTGTCAAGCTCCTGAAGTTTGCAGACGACACAAGTCTGCTTATAGACAGAAGGTCGAGCAGCTGGCTGTCTGGTGTAGTCACAACAACCTGAAATTGAACACGCTCAAAACTGTGGAGATGATTGTGGACTTCAGGAGGAACCCCCCTGCACTCCACCCACTCACCATCATGGACAGCACCGTGGCTAATATGTGTATGTGTATGTACCAGGAGCAACTGGTAAAAAAAATAATAATTCCTAGTGTGTTTGCGCACACCTGGCGAATAAAGCTAATTCTGATTCTGATACACTCAGATTGAAAAGGTATGTCTCAGCATAGTTTGGGTGTGTGCAAGGTTCTCCAAATACCTTTGTCATTTATATAAACCACAAGCTGTTGATTCCACTCAGCAACATTTCTTTCTGGCTTCAGACGCAACCCTCCAGCTGATTTACGCAGGCACTGAAAATGCATCTTCCAGCTCCCAATCGAGCACTCTACCAAGTTGTAGGTTCGGATGTGTGCAATGTTGTAATTGTGCTCGGCCTGTGTGGTGGGGTTGGTGACTGGATTTAGACGGTTCTGAGGGGGTAACCGCTGTCCCCTGAAAAAAAAAAACGCTCTAGGCCAAAAACCCCTGTTTTGGCATCTTGACCCACTGCTGAACTGGCCCACGTAAACCTGTTGTGTGTGGCCACTTTACAGGCAATGGAATGGAAGCCTTGATGCACCTCCATCACTTCATGCCTGGTGGAAGGCAAGGCATATGGATATAATCTGTGGCTGAGGAGGTAGCTCCATTGAGTTCGCCTCGACAAAGTCGGAACAACAAGATCGAAAAGCTGCTGAATTTGCTACCATGGCTGGCAATTTTTTTTTTTTTTTAATTGAGGATTGCAGATTCTTCTGACATGGTAGCCAGGGGACTAAAGTTTTCACAGATGAAATGCGGATGATGGTGCCATCTTTGATTTAGAATCTGATTTATTGCCAGGTATGTTTACACATATGAGGAATTTGTTTTAGTGAAAGAAGCTTCCACAGTGCAAACAGAATGACAGTGACACAGATCATAAAAAAAAATAAAAAAAATAGAATAATAAATAAATGTATAAATAATGTTGTGTATGTGTATTGGCAAGTTAACTGTTCATGAGATGGATTGCCTGAGGGAAGAAAGTGTTAACTATTCATTGTATCGCTGCCATTGTTTGACCAAACTCCCCACCACAATCATTCTCTTTAAATAGTAGGGTTGCAAAAAGGTAGAATTTTTCCGGGAATTTTCCACCCCTTTGCAACCCTATTAAATAGACTTCTGAGCCTTTACTGCCTAATGGTTTGCCAGCTGATGTTCCTGTGGATAATATAATTAAAAAGCTAACAACCTTCGGTGTAATGACAGTTTTATTCCTTGCAGGACCTGAAGTGGGACATTCACATTGACTCCATTGTGAAAAAGGCCCAGCAGAGGTTGTACTTCCTTCGTCAGCTGAAAAAGTTCAACCTGCCACAGGCACAGATGACACAGTTTTACTCAGCTATTATTGAGTCGGTTCTGTGCTCTTCTATAACTGTCTGGTTTGGGTCAGCCAGCAAATCAGATTTAAGAAGACTGCAACGGACAATTAGGACAGCAGAAAGGATCATTGGTGTGCGCGTGCCCAGTCTTCAGGACTTGTACAACTCCAGAGTGAAGAAACGGGCAGGTAACATCATCAAAGACCCCTCTCACCCCGGACACAACCTGTTTGCACTTCTCCCTTCAGGCAGACGCTACAGATCTCTGCGCACTAGAACATCTAGGCATAAAAACAGTTTTTCCCCAATGCCATCTCCAGCTTAAACAGCTAACACATGAATCATTACCTGCGTTCTGTAATTCATTTCCATAATTCATTCTACATCCTTAATGAATGCCTCTTTCTCAAGTATTATGTAAATACATATGCATATCTCTTTATTTATACAGTTCTATATAGAGTAAATGATGCACAAATCTGTACATAAATCTACTGTTCCAGATTCATACACATAATTTTTTGTATACACATTATTCTCATGTCAGATGTGTATGTATGTATGTTTGTATGCAAACACTTCAATTAGGCTAATTGAACACTTGGTGTATTACAACTTCAGAATT